TATATTTGTATGTGTGTAAGGAGAAACTTATTAATAACAAACCACAAATTGCAAATCATTCCCGCATAAACAAGCGATTAAAATTCAGTTAATAAGTTAGCGCCTTACAAAACCAGCATTTATTTTARTATGGTGGAGGGCGAAAGGGAAAACAAAGATAGTTAGGGCAGTAACGTGTGCAGTTGGGCTGAAGTGAACTTCTAAAAATAATAAATAAATCGAAATCATTGCTTGTGCTTGTATCTCTATGCAGTAAACACTATTGAACATCACTACAGAATTTATAYTATTTAAAGATTTCGACATTCATTAAAAGTCTAGCCAATCTATCTCTTATTGAAACTAACTGAAAAAAATAAATTCCAGCTGTCATTGCTATTCTTAAGCAATATTTATAGAAAAATCTATCAGTTTCCTTAGAAATTAGAAGAAAATCTAACCTGTCCTACTATTAAATATATTATTATATGCAAGTGGACAAGGAAGCTAATAGATAAATGAAAGGTTTCATTTAACATAGAATGATTCGATTTGGGTCAAATATGCACAGTTTTGTTCGATAAGCTTTTGCCATTTTAAAAGTTTTTGTTCATAATGCCATAATCATAGAGACCCTCAACCGCATAAGCAAATAACGAAGACAGAAGTTTTCACAAGATTCTCTTGAGGCGATTTTTTGCCAGCTAAAACAWCTGCCATAGGCAGAAAAAGGTAGTATTCACTTGGCGAGAGGTCCGTACTAATCCATAAGAATATCCCAACAATTAGCTAAAGTTGGCCACTTCTTGGCGATCGAAACAGTGCTTGTACGGCGGTACTTGATGATTGTCATTATCTTATCGAAATTTTCCACAAATTGTTTCGTTTTTTATGATATYTTATTTTTCTAAAGCCATATAGCGTACCTAAAAAGTATTTATACAACGCGAAACACAGATTACTATTGCCATTTGTGATAAAATAATGGACTTCTTTTTAATAAACCTCATGTAAAGAGCTCTCAAGTGTTTTCGCTTTCGATACGCTTCAGTATCTATCCAATATCAGCAATTAGACGTACTCAAAGTAAGCAACTGAGTTGATGAAAGCATTCTAATTATGTTAACATTCTTTGGCAATTATTTTTTTAAGATTATCTATATCAAGTGTTGGCCGCGGCTACGTCTCACTCGGGTTCCTCCATTGAGTCCAATTTTCGATAACTTGTTCGAGCRTTTCGACGGGTAAGTGGTGAATGACACGCGTGATGTTTTGCTCCAAAGCCTGAATCGAGGCTTGATTGTCCACATAGACTTTAGACTTTACATAACCCCACAGGAAAAAATCCAACGGTGTGATTGCAACCGACCGGTCTAAAACCTGAAATTCTGTGCTAACCAGAGTTTTCTCTCAATAAATCCATTGATTGATGCGACGTGTAGGAAGTGGCGCAATCTCGTTGAAACCAAATGTTTCCGAGAAGATGAGTTTCAATTTCAGGTATCAAATAGTCGGTTATCATAGCGCGATAACGGCTACCATTGACGGTTACGTTTTCATCGGCATCATATTTAAAGAAATAAGGACCGATGATTCCATCGGCGCACAAAGCACACCAAACTGTTGGTTTTTCAACTGGTTGGCTTGTAATTTTGTGTGTCCAATGGAACCGCGGCTACGGAATCATTGGAAATATTATGGGTAATCTACATTAGCACGAAAAGAAGTATTTGAGTATCAAAAAGTATTCAGTGAAGGTCGTGCAACTTCTAGAAAACTTGTCTCATATATGTTAATGACGATAGCATCGAAAAAGCTAAAGAAACAGTGCATAAAATCTCTACCATTGTATTCGGCAGATTTGACTCCTACCTACGCAATTGCTTGTTTTCGAAAAATCCGCTTCTGGGAATGCGCCATGAGTCCAGAAAAACTGCAATCACATCAACATAATTAAATAATAATTCGCTATTGATTTCATTGATTAACTCATTTCATTGTATTGTGCTCATTGCAGTTTATTTGCACCAGTAAATGACACCAATCGAAGTCGTGAAAAGTAATTATAATTGATGATTTGAAAATATTTGTTCTACTTTTTGCAGCCAATATAATGTGTTTCACAGTTTTTATGCGCAATTGCTTACCATTTAACTTCCAGTTTTTACTACATACCCCATTGCAAATGATTAATAAATGTGCTGCAGTTGGTTCTAGTGAAGAAAAATCTTTATACCTGCGACATTATGTCCATTTCACTTTATTATACTCCGTTTGATTGATCGTTTTTATGAAATTTCGTTAAGTTTTCTATAAAAAAGTGCAAACATTCCGCAGACTTTTACCGCCACYCGTGTACACCAACTATTGTAAAATATCAAACGATAATTGTATTGTTTTTCATAAAAACTCGATAAATTAGCGCTAACGTTAAAAAAGTAGGGCACCCAAGAATTTAAGGCGCGTACAATAATATATGCCGAGGTTGAGTGTTTGACGGCACGCCCAATTTAATATATATGTATCTGGTAAATRTTGAATTTATTAGAACCAATTTAAAACTCAATCGAATCGCTGAGACGAATCCAGGTTTTAAACTTAATTTATACACAGAGTTAGCTTGCTTTGTTAGGTCTTTGTAAAGTTATAAAATACATGCCATGAGTGAGAGCTTTGAAATGTCCTAACACCTCGTTTGAGTGTTATTTCCTGTTTGTAAATTCATACTATTTTCTAAATTAGACATAATATAATGGTTTACTGTATTTTCAAATAAAATTAATATGTGAAAACATATTTACTTTACGCCAATTATTTTTTTTTCTTATTTTTGAGGAATAGAAGCCAATATTGAAACTTTTAAAGTTATTTCTCGAACTCACCGAATATTTAATATTGAGGCTTTTAAAACACGCCTAAAAGTAGGCAATTTAAATAGCTTAAAGTTTAGCTTGGCTTTTAAGCTTGGCTCTTATCGTTAACACGAGCCTAAGACAGTATTGCAGTCACTGTTGTTTTTATACTTATTCAAGTTGTATATCTTTCAGTAGACACCACATATCTCGTAATGTATATTAGTTCATTAGCTAAATAATATTAAGTGGGAATGAGAAAATTACATTTAGGATATTGTGATTTGGAAAAAATGGAATAACTTCAAACGATTGTATTTTTTGCAGTACCGGTCATTATAGACAGTAAGGCTTGGGAACTTTTTAAGCCGGAATAGTCAAAAATTTCCATAAACAAAATATTAAAAAATTGTAAGCGCCACAACAAATAGAAGAAATAAATTTTTGTGGTAAAGAAGAAAATGTGAGAAGAAAYAACAAATGTAAGAGCTTCAGCACTTGGCATTTCTTTGAATGTTGTCTAATTTCGTTGCGTTAAATACATAGATATAGAAGTYCCACTTACTCTACCTCTGCCAATGTTAATTCCAAATGACTAAATGTGAATTTCATTACTGATAGCATTTACTAAGAATGCTACCAAGGTGTTGGTGGTAAGTACAAGTTTGTAAAAATGTTAAAGTAATAAATGTTAATAAATATTTCACACAAAGCAGAGCACCTCTGTTTTGCTCTTTATTGTGTAGAAGAAGACTCAGCATTGTCCGATCAAAATAAAAACCTTGTGTGATTTTTTTTTTCATTTGACGAGATATCTTCACGAAATTTGGCATTGATTATTGCGCAAGACAGCAATCTTCGAAAAAATCTGTCATGGCATTTGTTTAGATATCTGAACTACTCTACGTATACACWTTTGTCACTTGAAAATTTCTGTTATCGGGAGCCATTGCAGTTAATGTTGCAATTCTCATTYAGGACCAAATATTAGATATGGTGTTGTATGTATATATAAATGTTAAATTTTTATAAGAACGATTACCGACATTGGGAAAATGGATGAAATCGGATGACAACCCCTCCCTATATAATTATTTTCGAATCCAGCTAAAACTGTTCAAGGGACTAGGTACCAAATATTTGGACACCAGTTCCATTAGTTCTCTTTTTACTGTAAATATCGGTGAGATATATAATTGAAATTCAGGGATAGTTCTTYCCTGACAACCGTATGTCCCTTAGCTCCTGTATACCTAATACACAGGTTTTCAAGCTTCATATAAGTCAATATGTGAGACATGTTTTACACATAACAGTGTGTTTTTGTTTCTAACATCGACAAAATCGGACGAWCATTTGACCTAAGCACGTACATCTGGCTGACTTTGCTCTATTTGATTGATGATGGTATGTGAGATACCTAAGTAAAACCCAGAGAACATTGTATTCGTATGTGGCATGTTAATAGTATATCGAATGGGCCAAAATAGTCAAAATCAGGTCGTTACTATCCCCAAATTCATCGTACTATATAGTGTTTTTCGTTAACTTTATGGAAAATAAGTCCCTCACTGTTTGAGTGCTATATTTAAAAAATTACCTTGAAAAGTCATTTTCATGTTTACCAGAGCAATGTCCAAAGCACTGCAATCAGCCTGTCGCTTTCATTGTCCCTAAAATAGCCCATATAATAATTTCCTGTTTTTCCACCTGTCTTTAAACCATAGAAGATTTCGAATGAGATTTTGAATGAAGATTTCTTTAAATTTATGTGGCTTATTGCTAAATTAGAATTATTGGTCTATACGTTGGTCGAAACCTCATATTCCTAATATAAAAWTTTCGATCCTCTCGTATCAAATTTAGCACTTCGGTTGAGTTAATAGCACTTACCTATATATCACTCATTGGAAATGTTCTTATTATAATTATTTATGATATAAAATTTTGCCACCATTTGAAGGTATATCGCCGACTTTGATTCTTGCAAGTTGTAAGAGCAGAAAAAGTTCCCTTCTTTACTTCTTTTAATACTAATTTTTTTGATTACATACTCAAAAATATTCTTTCTCATTGCAGCCCTCAGTAAATTACAGTGTTTTGAAACCATATACATTAGTAGTAAGATTAAATTCAAACATTCCAATTAATTTTTGAGTATTCGTTTTATTGTCGCATTACAAAAAAATTTCTTTATTATACATTAAAAAAAAATTACATAAAAATGATATATTGTACATCATCTTCTTTACTTACATACATACGTTCATTATAAATATTATTTTGTTACAAATATGGTGGATATACGTACGGCAATGAAAATTTAAAGCTTGCACACAATATACATAACGTACAACAACCAATAATACAATAAAAATATGATTACAAAAACCAAAACAAAACTAAAAAAAAAAAATAAACTAAAAAGTAAACAATACAAACTTATGAACTACTTTGATGGACATTGACGGTAAATAGCTTCAGTTATAAAATATATGAAGGGTACAAAGCATTTGGTGAGTAAGTTGTAGGCAGTAAGTAAGTATGGAAGATATRCGTGGAAAAAATATAGTGGCTTGAAGTGTCAATTGCTGCTGCTGGTGAACGAATGCAATTAACGTAGCCGAAAAGTGTAGTACTCAGCTGGGAGCGCTGCTGCCGCRCGCTCAATAGTGGCCGCCATAGTGACCGCCGTGGTGTCCACCRTAGTGTCCGTCGTAGTGAGCGTTGTAGCCGGCGCCGCCACCATAATGACCGTTATATTGGGGCACGTATTCGTATTGAGCACCATGACCGTAATCGTCGTAGTCGTAGTGGATGGGAGCGATGGGTGCGTACGGTTTTGGGGCTGCAAGTAGAAAATGGKGGATTTTGTGAAAATTTTATTAAAAATAAATTGTCAGAAAGTAGTGGAAAGTAGTTGCTAAGGGCATGTGTATGTATCTGATAATATTTAAAAAAAAAWAAWWAAAAATTTATATTAATTTAGTAACAACAGCTAGTGCATATAAAATACACCGCTCTACAATTCGCATATATTTAAAAATCTATTTTTTTAGTGTAATTTGTTTTCATTTTTTTTAATAATTTGTTTGTAAATTTTTCTTGCTCAATTTTTTTTCGTTATTTTTAAATTTTGCTGCGCATTTTTTTCTTTGGCTTAGTTAAATTTAATTTGGCCTATATTTATTTGCAATTTATGCGCTAATATTTCCTTAGCAATGACAATTTTTCTTTTGTCCTCTGCCGGCGCAAGTGTTTATTACTTTGCAGAAATTTATGTTGCTCGCTGTGCAAATTGCTTAAATTGCGCRGTGCGCACATCAGTTGCCTAACAAATGGTGCAAATAACCGCAAGCATGAATAACAAAAACAACAACAACTCTGCTTGCCTCTAAACTAAAGCAATGTCATCCATGCACATTGGAAAAAAAGAAACTCAGCTTAGCCGCTGTGAATGATACAGTTCACTGCCTTTTCGGCTGTTGTTTGTTGTTRTGTGTTTTCGCAAACAGCGTACAACAAGAACAACAAATAGGTAACATGCTTGGGCAATACAGTGGCATGATGACCGTTGCTTTAATTTATTTCAATTTATTTGTGACGTGCTTTTGGTGTTGCGTTGAAATTTGACGTTGCGTTATGTGTRTGCGTGTGTGTGTATATGTATATATTCATGTGTGTATTATTTATTTTGCATACATATATATGTTATTTGTTAAATAAATTTCACTTATTACATTGTTTACTAATTAATTTGAGTATAAAATAATATATTTTTTTTCGGAAAATAGTTTTTTGGTTGAAAAATATTTTTTTTTTGGTTGACAAAATATTATTTTGGAATGCTGTTGCGTGAAAAGGAATGAAAATAGTTATTCAATTAAGAAAAAAAWATAATAATAATTTGATTGGAAGGCGCTAGTACTAAACAAAAAGTGCAAAGAAGGAACCATTTATGAAAAATAAGCAAAAAATTCACACGACAAGAAAAAGCATAAATTTTGGTGAGTCCTCTATGCTTAGTGACCCGATCTTAGTTAAGAGATTTCTTCAGAGACTATAGCATTGTTTCGATTAATCATCTGTGCCAAATTTCGTGAAAATATCTTGTCAAATAAGAAAGTTTTACATACAAGGTATTGCTTTTGATCGTTCAGTTTGTTTGGCAGCTTTATGCTATAGCTGYCTGATATCGTCAATTTCAACATATAAGCAGCTTCTTGGTGTRCAAAGGGTGTTTGTAAAATATCATATCGATATCTAAAAAACTCAGCGATTAGGTCGTGTACTTATAGACTTACGTTTAGACCGACGATTAAGGCAAATCGACTTAGAGCTATGACTTGGCTACTCATGTGATTGGTTTTGTGAGGATATAAGGAGCTAAAGTTGTATTGATAATCATTTTAATTTCCTGACAAGCATAATTTAAAAAAAAAAAAAATTTATTGAGAGCTGCATAACATTTAGTCAAGACAAAAAGACAGATTTTAGACTTCCAGTAAGAGTGGTTGCTAGCATTTTATTATATTTAATGCCCACTAAATGTCGTTAGAATGGAAAATTCTGATTTTTATAATAAAAAATTTTATATTTTCAAAAATTATTTATATAGCTAAATAAAAGATGCATTTAAAGTGATGTTACCCAAGTATTTAGGTAAAATTTCAAAAGACTTAAGCAACGAACTTGCTCCACTTTTCGACAGTCAAGGAGGGCTACACCTCAATAAACATTATAAACAACTATGCATAAGATAAGTTAAACATTTCTCAAAAAGAAAAACAATAACAAACAAGCAAAAAAACAATAACAATAATAACAAACCACTTGATTTGCCTACTGCCTAATAGCTACCAAACTGTGAAAGACTCTGAAAGTGATACGAAATTTCATTGCAAATAGGGGAGTAAATTTCAAATATTGTCAAATATGGTGCCAGATGACAGCATTGGGAAAAACTCATACAACAAAAAAGGCAGTGTAGGTGAAATATGCGCTCATTTTGATTAGCACACAGGTGGTTGAGCTAAGGAAAGCTATAAGTTATATGGGTTTGTATGTGTGTATGTGCATGCGAGATGCATAGCGTTGAAATGTGTAATATTATACAGTTATTTATTAAACGCAGATTTGGCTGATGAAACTGTTCGCGTCACAATTGATTTATTATGTGAATTAGTGATTACTTTTGGTGCGCTGCTTTTTAGACTGAAGTGACATAGTTGTTGTTGTTTGATGGAAAGAAATTAAATMTAGTCTAATATAAGGTAAGCTAAGTTAATGTCTGGAGCGCGCGTTTGGTAGGGGTGTCGCATTTTTTATATGCAGAAAGGGCTGAGGCATACGTGCATATATGTATGTATATATAGCTATGTATAACTATGCGAAATTAGCAATTCTCTAGCCACCGCATAAATGTGTCACCTGTCGCTCATTGTTCTGCCACAGCGCGCCTGCAAATAGGTTGTGTGAAAAACTTTTGTTTACATTGCACATATYTTTTCAGCTCAGAAATTTCGCAAATTTTTTTTCTGCTGCTTWTTACATAGTTGCGCCCACAACTTCTCGGCGCAGCTTAGCGTACTGCTGTTTCTTTATAATTGCAGATGTTGCTTGTTTCTTTTTTAATTTTATGTTTCTAGCAATATTTTATGCTAATCTGGGAACCCACAAATTGGCTGCGTAAGAAAACAAAAAGCTGATGAAGTAATCTGGGCGGGCAATACGCCCAGCGGCGCAGTTAAACGCCGAAACTGAAGGAGAGGGGTGTTGCAGTKGGGCGTTTGAGAGGCTGTTGTTATGAGGCTTTGGCGCTTGTAAAGTACACTTCTTAACAAACTTTCTGGTAGTGCTGGGAATTTGGCGTATAGTAGTGAAAACGAAAACAATGAAATAGTAAATAAAATAGAACGGTTCGCACAGAAAAATGCTGGTGTCGAGAAGAATGTGYGAGCTCTATGGTAATTTGTAGAGGAAATTATTAATGGTTTTTATAAGCATAGTTTTGTGGAGGGTATAAAAGGTTTTTTTTTTTATAATTTTTTTCAAATTAATTTTATGAAAAAAATTAGTCTTGTGTTTGCTTGAAGTAAATTAATTGCTTTAAATTAATCRACTTAAATGATAATTATCTGAAAGGTTTTGCAATGGCAGCTTGGTAAATTAGTTTTTATGCTTTATGTAGAATATTTATATATTTTTTTTCAATATTTCTTGGCTCTCAAATCAACTCTAGATTCTATAATTTATATAATAAGAGTGAGAGTATTATTACAAAGTATTTTTTGATGCTGTTCATCAAAACCTTTAACCCCAGCGGTACTATTGTTATAAAAAAAAATATTATTTTGTTGTCCTCAGTTTATAAATATTTGTTATTACCAGAGACAATAGTAAATTAACTAAATTTCCATTTTAAAAACTACCAAAAAATGTATTTCGTCTTAAAATGCCTCTATTTAATGTGTAGAAATCAAAATTATTTCAATAAGAAATTTAAAGCTCGTGTGAAAGCTTTGCGGAAACTAGGAAGTATATAATATTAGGCAAGATTCCACCTATTTCTATCTATTAAATCTCTTATTTATTGAAAGAAAAATCAAAATTATTTTAATGAGAAAGCTGTGAGCTATTCGAAAGCTTTTCTATAACTAAAAAATAGGCAAGAAATGCTTCGAAATGGTGGGAAATAAAAATTTGATAATAAAATAAACCATTCCTTTTTTATTATCCAAATTATTTCAATAAGAAAGCTTTAAGTTCATTTGAAAGCTTAACGATAACTACCAAGTTTTTACCATTAAGCAAAAAATAGTTCCCAAAATGAAATGAGAAAGCTTTAAGCTCATTTGAAAGCTTAACGGTAACTACCAAGTTTTTACCATTAAGCAGAAAATAGTTCCCAAAATGATGGAAAATTGCTTATTTATTGAAAGAAAAATCAAAATTATTTCAATGAAGAGGTTTTAGGCTTATCCAAAAGGTTTTTTGTAATAAAAAAATATTCATTGTTAGCGAAGGAAGAGTTAGAACATGGATTTAGTGAATTGAAGTTTTCTCCCAAGAAGATCAAAATATTTAAAATATGAAGCACTAAGTTTATCCAAAAGCTCTCCGGTATAAATGTATACACCTGTCTCTTTTTATTATAAGAAAATCAAAATTATTGCAATATGAAAGCTTTGAGGTATACAAAAATGCTGGAAGTATTTAAAAAATTGTTTTAAGGCGTTTTGAATTTCATGCAATTTTTTTCTTTCTTTTCACCGCTAGAAAATTGCTTCTATGTAACAGTTTTAAGTTCATACGAAAGMTTTTGGGTAACTGAAAAGTATTTACCGTTAGGCAGCAAACACTTCGATATGAAAGCGAAAGCTGTTCGATAACTGAAAGGTATTTATCGTCAGGCTGTTTTACTCATTTGCAAAGCTTTGGGTTAATAAATAGTATTCACCGTTAGGCTAGTTATATTTTTGGCACATTATTGTTGAAAAGAACAAAGTCTAGAAACATTTTTTTAAGTTGAAGAAAACTTTTGAAAATCTCTCGATATAAATTAGAAGGTGGTTTGAACACTGCAGTTTTTGCTTTAAATCATAACTATATCTTAATAAGTTTATAGAAGTTATATTTAAATTTTATGTTCTTTTATTTAGAAAAAAAAAAGCTTGGGTAAGCCTTTAGTAACCAACTTTTAAAATTATTAAAAAAAAAAAAAAAAATGGTGAACTCTTTTTTAAATAAATTAATTATNAAAAAAAAAAAAAAAATGGTGAACTCTTTTTTAAATAAATTAATTATATTTTTAACAATATTTTTTATTTCGTTTTGGTGAAGGTTTCTTGAGTTGACTTATGCACTTTTTAATTAGAACCGCAGTTTCTAGCTTTGTACTCCAACACTTTCGTTCAATCTCTGAACTCAGCAATGCTAAACCTTCACTTCGTTGCATCGTTCAACCAACAGGAAATTGCAAATTATTTGTATTGCAAGAAAGAGTTCACATAGAACAAACAGAGCAAAGTGTTCGACTAAAACTAATTATTTATAAGTGAATCATGAAAAACCGCGACTTTCATAAGAAACGAGATAAATGTGTTAAACAGGCTAACGATGCTTTGTATTGTCGCGTTGAACTAATAAAAACAGGTGTAGTATAATATGTAATCTAGATTGATTTTCGCGCTGATCTTTTAAACATTTTAATTTGCATTAGWACTCTGGGCAATTATGAATGAGTGCTTGCCTTGTGGGAAAATAAATGAGTAATGCTTATAYGTGTGTGTGTGTGTGTGCGTGTGTGGAGACAATTAAGATGACTAAGACATATACTTCAAGTATATGCTTACTATAGCTAAGTCATACCCATATAGTGTACTGCACTATAAACATTATATAAATAGGTATATATGTAGATATATATGTGCGTATGTTTATGAGCGTATGTGAGTTACATGCCGTAGGTGGCTGTTTCATTTACATTTCATTTGTACTCATTCCAAATTAGTAATGATAATCATTCCTATAGTCTGCTTCGACCGATTCGTCTGGGCGAAATTTGAGTATTTGATTATTGATGATATGGGCGTGGCGGCGCAATAACTTCACCATGCGATATGTGTTAATGCCTGTGCAGGGAAAATTATGTAAATGAATGCAGATGGATGAAGACGCAAATGCTAATGTTACTGTTGTTGTAATAAATTAGGAATGTTGAGAGATAGCAGGTGACAGCTTATGTAAGTATGAAAAATGTGATTTTATACAGCAAGAGGTGAAGGGTAGCTATAGGAAATTATTTAAGAATATTAATAGAAGTCTTTGGGTGAGCAGTTCGTTTTGGGAAAACTATTTTCAACAGCAATACTGTGGCAATTTGTATAGTGGGCTAAACCTATAGATTTTAGTATGTATTAGTATGGAGAGGACTTATCAAATCGAACTACTTCAAACATATTAATAAAAAAAATTACAATTTTCCTTAAATATTCTTATAATTTATCGTTAAACTCCCACTTACCATACGGCGCTGGTGCTGGCACTACGACTGGCGCTGGCGCAACATGTGGTCCAGGTACTAACGCTTGTGCATGCACTGTGGGTCCAGATTTCGTGACAACAGCGTTGAAACCGTTTATGGGATCGGCAGTGTAGTCGACTGTGCGTATAGAGCCATCGGGTTCGACGAGTGAGTATTGCCCTGAAAGCAAGAAAAAAATTAACCAAATCAATTTAGTGCTCAGTTAGTTTAAGTTTAAAAAGAAGTTCAAATAAGGCAAAATTTCATGTACATATATGCGATTTGGAAAAATTATTTTAAAAATTTTCCTATACAAAATAATAATAAAAATAATATTTTTTT